TGAGAGCTTGGCGGGGAAGAAGCATGGGCGTTCCGGGCGAGGCCTATGCCCTCCCTCTCAGCTCCAATTGCACGTTCTGTGACTACGATTTGCAAGAAGATTTCGCTTCTAGAGAGTTTGAACTGATCGCTTAATGGCAGAACTGACGTTACGACGCTTGGTATGATAACGTAAGGTGCCGAAAGAAATCAGAACTCAAAGTCAAACCTCATTTTCCTGAGCAAGACTGGGAAATAAAAAATTCAATTGCCAACGGACGCCGGTTCGGCGCGTCCAGGCACGGGCTCCAGAGTCTAGCTTTTGGTTTTCGCCGGCCCATGCTGTTAACAGCCCTATCCCAGCCTCTCATGCCCCGAAGACTCGAAAGGTTTCGGGGCTTTTTGATCAGAGTTTGCGGAGCAACCAATCGAATGATCTTCTTTGCCAACCACAGCAACACCCAGACATTTGGTCTATTCCTAGTTAAAGCATGCCCTGATCTTGAGACTTTCTAGAACTCTTCTTGATCTATTCGAGACTCTCAATTGCTAGGGACTCGCAACCGACATGACGAACCATGTAACAAGTTTTGCTAAATTGGTACACTCATCGTCTCTGTTTCTTTCCTCGTCAGATTGCGCGTTCATCACGTCCGTTCAACGAGGCGATGATCTGATAGTCAAAGCAACAGTAAAACCAACTGACGACAGGCGCACGTCCAAATGCATAAATGTGGCACCTCACACAACACACATTTGAGCCTCATCTTTTTTCGTCAGAACAAGCATAGGGCCCGCAGGTTCTGCCATCTCCTCATGCCATTGTCCCTCTTTTCCGGTGCAATAGCCACACCGTCTATAGAAACATGGGACGACTGAAATGAAGGCTGCTGTTTCACGGCCCATCCCATCTACATGTATCCACAAGCCGCGCGAGAGTCGCAGGGTACTTCACTGCACATGATCTTGGGGATGTGTGGGGGAGGTCACTGGGTCTAGAGCTTCGTCTCGACGTTTGATGCCACCGGATAACCCGTGAACGCAGAAAATACCGAAAAGAGGTCACGGAGAGAGCCATTATTGGATGCTTTGGCATGATCACTTTCCTGGTACCGCCTTCTATAAACAACATTTGCTGTCATCCCATCAAATGTCTTGGAACGGATCCTGGTGAGACTCTCGTTTTACCAGGAGGCTGGTTTGAGGTTTCTGGAAATTCCGGGTCTCTTCGTAAGACGTTTCTAACAATTACTTCATATAAGGAGAGATTATTTTGTGATAATGTTGAGATGATCGGAAGGAATTTCCAGATGTCTAAATGAGATCGAGAATACTACACAGCACAAGGTACGTGGGGGCGCCTTACCGATGATCTGCACTAGTTTGTCGCGTGTAGAAATTGTCCCGTCTTGCCTCTGCAATTTCATCCCAAAGGTTTCCATCTACTACCTTCCTCATTCGAAGACAAATGCGCGGCCCAAACCTCAATGAAGAGACCAAATACTGATATCGAGACAACTTAGTTTCCAAACGGCCGGCCCGGATTCTTCCTTTCAACCTTTTTCGATGCTTTCTTGTTTGATTCTTTCGCTCATTTAATTCCCCTTTCGCTGGCTGGAGACTTCCGGACGCGAAAAACACCGTCCGTGTCTTTGCCATTGAGTTTTTTTTTTCTTTCCATATTCTCAAGGCGACTGTTTCAACCCCCTTTCTTATTGACGTTAACCTTTATACTTCCCCCCTAATTTAAACTCAAAAAACCATGAACGACGACAAAAGCGATGGGCTCCTCGTCCCAATCGACTTCAACAATGCCAGCGGCGGTAGACGAGAATCGAGGATCGACAAATACGCCAAGCGCAGCTCGCAGATGTTTATTCCATTCAGCGTCGTGGACTTCCGGCATTCCCAGGCGCTGACCCCGGCATCACCGCGCTATCCGATGCAGACTTTGCAGGAGGGCGGACGCGGACTCGCGAGGATCGACTCCATCGACACGATCACAGCTGAGAAGCAGGAGGCTGCTGTTCATGAGGAGGAAGTGCTCGGGAGTACTGAGATCTATGACAAGGATGGCAACATCCGGCTCGTACCAGTGAGTGAAGCACCGCAGATGGATCCAAAAATGCATTGGGAGACTGACCATGAACATCAAGACTCCTACTCCGGATCCCAAGGATCCTCTCAATCTGCCTGAGTGGCGCAAGTGGCTTGCTGTCGCCTCCTTATGCTTCTGTAAGCTTCTTCTGGCCAACTTGGGCGGAAAGCCCCCTTCTAACGACGCACAGTCGGCTCCGTCTCTCTTGCTGCCGAAATCGCTGTCGCTGGTCTTCTGCCCGTGTTCATTCTCGAGTACTCTGGAGTCGATCCGGCCTCAACCCTCAAGCATGCCGACCTCAAAGGCAACCCGAACCCTCTTGCCATTGTGCCACCCGGCGTAACTCCAGTCTCCCTGACGTCTGTCTCTCTTCTGGCGACCATTCCCATGCTCAGTAACGGCGTTGCCACATATCTCCTGGTCCCTCTCACGGCTGCTATTGGTAGACGTCCTGTGCTCATCCTCACTTCGGCTTTCTCCTGGGGCGGAGGTTTCTGGGCCGGATATAGCAAGTCGCTTACCAGCCATATTGCTGCCAGAGTTTTTCATGGTCTTGGATCCGGTGCTGTTGAAGCCTTGCTCCCTTTGATTGTCCAGGACATGATGTTTCTTCACAAGAGAAACAAAGCTGTGGCGTCCATCATTGCTAGTCAGGTAAGTCTATACCATCTGAGATACCATACCATCAACCCTTCAAGTCTCATGATCTGATGTAAGGAATTGGCCATATCGATTTACTGACATATCTTCATGTAGGGCCCAATGATTATGCTCTTCGGTATCCTTGGTCCGTACATTGCTGTCAACTGGGATTGGCGATGGATCTACTGGATCACATCCGCCGTCGGCGTTCTGACCTGGATTATGCTCATCCTGTTTGTTCCCGAAACCCTTAGACAGAGATCTAAAGCAGAGCTTGCTGGGCACCAGCTGTGGCCCATAGCGGCGGGCGAGGACCGTACTCAACTAGACTACGCCACATACGGCGCGCGCACGCGGTGGGATGACCTTGGGTTCTTCCAGAGCGGAACTCATTGGAAGGATGCCGGCCTCCAGATCATTGCTACTCTCAAGACCACCATGTTCCCCGCTGTCTTGTGGTGCACTGTGTTGCAGGTTGCATTTGGGATGGTCATGGGTGCGACAGGACAGGCGACCTCATTCGCTCTTCTCGCTGCTGGGTAAGAATTCACCACGGTATTAGTTCGTCCTGGTACCAAGATACTGATGCAATTCTCTTCAACAATAGCATTCCTTTCGAACTCACCGGTCTTTCCCAAATTCCCCAGATCTTGTCAACTATCGTCGTGTTCGTCGTCGGCGGCCCAGTCGCCGATTCAGTATCCCTCTGGATCTCGAAGAAGAAGGGTGGTCGCGAGGCAGAGCATCAACTCCCTAATCTCATTCTGCCCATATTCTTTGCCATTACAGGTGCTCTAGTCTTTGGCTATGCCGACCAAAATCACCTTCACTACGCCGTCTTGCTGCTGGGAACCTTCTTTCTTATGACATCGACCTTGATCACGGCGCCAATTGTGCAAAACTATGTCATTGAGAGTTACCCTCAGTGGGCTGGTCCCGTGCTGGTAAACGTCTCGACTCTACGCGTTTTCATATCCTTTCCTCTTAACACACAAGTAACAACTTGGCTTCAAGAATTAGGCGAGTCTTAGAGTGACCTTCTTAATTTGTACATCTTGTTGACCAATTATTTTTTTCAACAGGTCCGATGAAGTTCACAGTCTATTTGTCTATTATGCTTTTGGTTGTGTCGACCGGTATTCCTATTCTTTTCATTTTCGGCAAGAAGTTACGCATGAAAACATCCGACAAAGTTTCAAAGAGGCAATGATGAACTATTGCATAAAGATATGTATCATTGGAGTCTCGCACTAGAGAGAGGGCAGTCGACGACTCGTCAAACAGCACGAAGTGGAAATTCTCCCTTTCCTGGTGGTTCTGATCCAGAAGAGACCAAACCTTTGCTGCAGTCCATTGAAAATGGGCTGCTTGCATGGCCGAAGTCTCTGTATCTCGACGTTGTGACTTTTCTTATGAGACTTGGACTCTGTTTTCTGCAGACTTGCCGTCCCAGTAGTGCAAAGGTGTATGTATGTAGGACATCGACCCTTTACTGGGGAAAGCAAGTGGAAAACGCTGAGTTTATGTTTAATCGTTATATAAACTATATATAAGGGTGGTTTAATCGTTTGAGGATGGAATTTAATGAAAATGGGCAGGGGAAATGCCTTCATTGGTTCAAGTTTGTTGTGCAAGACAGCGCGAAATAACATGTCCCTCAAACATGATCAGTATAATAGGCGTATGCGGATTAAAACTAGCTTATCTACGGCCAATAAGCCTCGTTTGGGATATTTCAGTTTCTTTTTTTCAATCTTTGTCTAAAATGACTTTCTTCGAGTCTTTTCTCGGACCATAGATCATTAACCACAGGTTAACCCCCATTCGAAGATCTCAGTTGGAAGTGCAAGAAAGATTCACGAGCTTCAGATGAGGCCAAAATCACACATCGCAATAAAAACGCAATATCCGGGGTAGCATTCAACAAAGCCGCTAAGTAATAGGCACACATCATTCGATTCGCCGGAGTCGAATGAAGGACAGTAGCGCTAGTCTGCAGTGAGATTCAAAAATAGTCCACTGAGCGAAAACACGAACCGAGCACCCAGATCGGGCTAGGCAACGTGAGCTGAAATCTGCCGAAGCAACGTTTCCAACGGCACAGCAATAAGCTTGTCCGAGAATTTTGGACTTTTGTCTTTCATCAATGCTTGTCTTGAGAGTATGAATAGGCAGTATCTTCCCGTTATCGGGTCCTCTGTTTCTTAGTCTTGGGATCACGGACTTCATCTCGTTCCAGATTCACTCGCTACTGTCACTCGTTTCATTCACCACTTGTCACCATGTCACGCTTGTTTACTGCCCTGGTATTGGCCGGCCTTGGTGCCAACCTTGCTGTGGGAACGCCATTTGATCAGGAGGAGCAAAACCGAAACGCCGAATGCGATGTAAGTATGAAGTTCCTCTAACGTTTTATCAGGTACTGATATTCCTGCGACGCAGAACGGTTGCTTCTTCGGTAGCTTCCCTGGAGGCTCCTGCACAAATGACGCCGCATGCATGTGCACTCAGCAAAAGTATCGTGAGAGATATTTCTGCTGCATGGCCCAGAAATGCGCCGCTTCCGTATTGCCCGGTAAATATTCCCGATTGGTGTGAACCTAGATTAGCACTGACGGGAATACTGTCCAGATTCTATTCAGCGACAAACTCTGGAATGTGAAGCGAGGAACATGCCCTTCACATTTGACACAGAGGCAGTATGCGGCATCAAGTTGACAACATCCACATCCGCTGCCCCTACCGTCACAATCACTGTTACCGGTGGAACGGGAACGCAGTCTCCAATGCCATCGGCATCCGGCAGCTCATCTGTCCTACTTGCTACCACGATGGCATCAACCCCTGTGATAGCACCCACGCTGAGCGCGGGCGTCAACACACCAACTGCTACACCGAGCAGCGGTTCTGCTGAGCGCTTGATGCTGCGGGGCTCCACAGTTCTAGTCGCTGCAGCCGGCTGGATGTTCTGGTAGACGAGCTATCACCGAGAACAAGAATTCCCATTGTTCCGAACGATCAGGAAACGCCTATTATTCACCATTGCAATCAGCAAAAAGCTTCAGACCCTTACACATTTTACCTTCTAGACCCTAATAGTAATCACAAAAATACATAATGCAGTCAAATAATTTTGACCCATTTCCCCAAAAGCCAGGATTGATTACCCCAGAAACTCTATCCTCAGATCCGGTGAATTCGGGGAGCGATTCAGCGAACAACCGATGGGATGCTAGGCTTTCCCCAAGCTCACTGGTGGAGACGAAAAAGTCCGCCCAATCACTCCCCCAATGCCCTGGAACCATGAGCAGCTGTTCCCTGCGAGCCGCAATTTTAGGTGGTGTTTGCGCCATCCCGCCGGTTTTCACAGGTGGCATTTCATCTCAGTAGCGTCTACTTCTCAAAGCTTGCATCTGGCCCTGAACTTTGAGCGGGGAAGATGGAGGGGGTGGTTGGCTTTCAGGGATCAAGATGGTGCCTTATAAGTATACACTGGAGTGATCCATCTGATATTGTTGTGCGTGTTGTGAGAAGATCCCGGCTTTCTGGTTCCTGGCAGCGACTCGACGTTTGTGAATTGTCGCGATGATTGTTTCTAGGTTCTACCTGCTCGGCTGGGCAGCAGCATTTGCGATTGCTTCTCCAATTGCTGTTGAAACTCCTTTCAGCTGGAAGAATACGGAATACGTGTGAGTTTCGAAAGTTCACGCACATGTCTACTTGCAATCACTGACGGAGGGGGGCGCTCAGACTCACATTTGGTGACTCTTACACATTCGTTCAAGGAACCGAAGGTCGCTGGGCCTACAGCTTCATCGGATCCCAGCTGAACATCTCCTTCACGCCTGAGCAGCTCCTCGGCGACCGTATTGTTCCGGGACAGAACACGTCTTCCGCCGGCGGACCTAATTGGGTTCAAGAGCTCACTGGCTGCAAAGAGGGCCACCCTCGGGACTGCGAGAAGCAATTGTGGGGATTTGCATATGCCGGAGCTGATATTTCGACTACCTTGTGAGAGAATCACCAGCTAATTCGATGCAAGAGGCACGAGAGGAAGCTAACAGTAGTCCAGTGTCCCTCTGCACTGGAACCATACTATCTCATATGAGAAACAGATTGAACAATGGGACACCTACGGCAAGTCGATCATCAATGCCGATCCCGCAAAGTCGCTCGTGGCCTCCTACATTGGAATCAATGATATCAACGACATGGCCAATTTCCAACTCCCTGTCAATGGGCTGAACAGCTGGGAAGAACTGTACACTGCAGTTGTCGCCGAGCAGTTTGCAGCCTTAGAGACGGTGTACAAAGCCGGGCATCGCAACTTTTTGTTCCTGAACTTGCCTCCGCTCGATAAGAACGTACGTCAAAACCTGCTCAGTTACCATTTCAACAACCTTTTTAGGATTCATGCTGACCGTGCCGCAGCCCGCATCGCAACTCAACCCAGCCCGTCTTCCAAGCACCGACATGATGAAGACATTCAACAGCGTAGTCAACCAGACCGTAAAGGCGTTCTCAGAAAAGAATCCCGGCTCGACTGCGTTGGTCTTTGACACGTACAGCTGGCTTACACAGGTCTTCGATATCGCGGCGTCGTATGGGTTCACCAACACAAGCTCTTTCTGCCCTAGCTACAAGGCGTGGGACATTGATACGAACTACGCCGCGTACGGGTGTCAGCCGATTTACGAGTACTTCTGGTATAATTCGGGTCACATTACATACCATGTCCATGAGATTCTAGCGCAAAAAGTGAAGGAGTTTCTAGTTCAGAAGAGCGCGAGCGCATGTGGTGGGAAGAATCAGACGTTGAGCGCCTGGGGGACGAGATGGATTGGCGGGAAGTCAACCTGAATCCAGCAAACAAAGTAAGATCAAGTCATTGATGTTGATGGACCAAGATTGTTGATTCTCAGCCTTCGCGGAGATAATTGCTGTCAAGGTCAACCTCATCGTGAGGAGTCACTGGCAAAGTCTCCCCTATCTCCCCGAGCCTCGGGGCGATCTTGTCAAACCTTGCCAATTCCCAGGTTCTAGACAGCCGGCGAAAGACTCCAGATTTTCCGTAGCCCACCTTGAGCGTCCCAAATACTAATATCAGAAATCAAAAGTCATGGAATATTCTGATTCCTTTCTGCTTTCGGGATATGTTTCGCGCCCCTCTCAAAAAGTTTGAATTGATTGGCATGACTCAGCTTTCTGGTGTTTATTCAATAAATTTGGTTCACAAGAAAAACTCTTGTTGTGGTGTCTCATAGAAAATGAGAGGCGACCCGATCCAGACAGATGGCTGACATTGTCAGTCTTCAAGTTGACATAACTCTGCAAGGTTGAAAATGTCAGCATTAGCCATTTGAAGCTAGATTTCCGTGATGCTCAACGATAATTGCTCCGTGCCGCCCGGTGCCGCGAAGCCGATCAGGTCTAAACGCCGGCCGAGATAGCAAGGTCTAAGTTCTGGTCGAATCAGAAGCTCAGGATAGAGCTTTATCTGAGTTTTTGCCCCCACTCTGTCGTCGTTCTCGCGATCCTTCAGGACGTGTGCAACGCGTCACGTCATGCCGGAGAGGCTGATCAGTAAGACTCTGTTCCAATAAATACACTGTCGTAGTCATCCATTGCATCTAAAGAGAGTCTATGGCGGTTTGATCCCGTGAGTTGTGTTTGTGAAGATGTTGTCTTCTGCCTCATTAGCGCTTGTCGGGCTCGTCGGCCTCGCGACCGCGCAGTTCCCGCCCACCCCCGAGGGGATCAAGGTGCTGAAGTCCAAATTCCACGAAAATGTGACCATTTCTTACAAAGAGGTGAGCGCACTTTTATCTTCGATGGTCTTTGATATCCTTGACTAATTTAGGTCCTTATCCTTCAGCCCGGTATCTGTGAGACCACGCCCGGAGTCAAGTCGTACGCCGGCTACGTGCAGCTACCCTCGGGGACTTTGAATGATGTCGATGGGGAAGCTCAAGACTATCCAATCAATACGTAGGGACCCTCTTTCAAGGCTATCTACCGTCAATTGGAACTGGCACTGATCCTCACAGATTCTTCTGGTTCTTTGAAGCGCGCAAAGCTCCGGAAAATGCACCCTTGGCAATCTGGCTTAACGGCGGACCTGGAGGCTCCTCAATCATGGGCCTCCTTGAAGAAAACGGCCCCTGCTTCGTTAACGAGGACTCCAAGACGACCCGTCTGAATCCATGGAGTTGGAACAACGAAGTGAACCTCCTCTACATCGACCAACCAACCCAGGTCGGTTTCTCCTACGACATCCCAACCAACATCACCATCCACGCCGACGAGAACTTTGAGAATGGGCCATGGGGCATGTTCCCCGCTGACTTCAGCGATGGTGTCCCCGAGGGAAACTACACCTACCGGTACGGCACGGCATCCAGTCAGAAGCTATCGCAGACATCGAACACCACGGCGCATGCTGCGCACGCTCTATGGCACTTTGCGCAGACTTGGTTCTTTGAGTTCCCTGGCTACAAGCCCATTGACGACCGGGTTAGCTTGTGGGCCGAGTCGTACGGAGGACACTATGCGCCTGGAATCTTCCGCCATTTCCAGACGCAAAACGAGTTGATTCAGAATGGCTCTTCGCCCGAAGAGAATGCCCAGTATATCCACCTTGACACGCTTGGAATCGTCAACGGCCTCATTGACCTATCGATCCAAGGCGAGGCTTGGATCACGTTCCCGTATAACAACGTGAGTGATTGCTATCCATTGATACGATCTAGAGCCGGGTGCATTATGATGAGGATGATGAGGAACAGCGCTGACTGTCTGTTCAGACCTACGGAATGCAAATTTTCAACGAGTCTGTTTACAATGCGTTGATGCACAACTGGACCCGCCCGGACGGATGCAAAGACCGAATCCTCAACTGCCAGGAAGCTCTCAAAGATCATGGACCGCTAGTCGCCAATGGTATCAAGAAGAACTACACTGAGATTTGCGGCGACTTCCTTGCCGAGTGCGGCTTCAACGCCGTCGAAATCTACCAGGGCAAAGCCGATGGAAGGGGCTGGTATGATATCGGACACAGCAAATATGACCCTTTCCCGGCCCCGCACTTGTACGGGTATCTCACCGAAGGCGAGGTTTTGTCGTCTCTTGGCGTGCCTGTGAACTACTCGGAATCGTCTGGGGCAGTGGGCATCAGTTTCCAACATACTTTCGGTAAGATGGTTACATTCCCATTCGCGGGGGCTACCTGCTTTTAGATGAACGTTATACTGATCGGCTTTTATAGATATGATCCTGGGTGGATTTGGAGAGTCAATCGGGTACCTCCTCGATAGCGGAGTCAAAGTTCACATGATGTGTGAGTCTTGATCATCCCAATCTTTTGAAAGTTGGGCCTTTTCCTAACGCTGTTGTGTGCAGATGGAGATCGCGACTACGCCTGCAACTGGGTTGGCGGCGAGAAGGCCAGTCTGGCGATCCCCTACAACCGATCGATAGACTTTGCCAACGCCGGGTACGCCCCGCTCATCACCCCCGATGGTGTGACGGGCATGACGCGCCAGTTTGGCAATTACAGCTTCTCCCGCGTCTACCAAGCCGGTCATGAGGTGCCGTCTTATCAGCCCGTGACTGCGTACGAGATCTTCATGCGGGCGACGTTCAACCGGGACATCGCGACGGGACTCATACCCGTCACGGACGAGCTGTCGACGATCGGCGTCAAGGACACGTGGCACATCAAGAACATCCCGCCCCGGGAGCCGGATCCGATTTGCTATGTCCTCAAGCCCGAGACGTGCCCCGAGGATGTGTGGAAGACGGTGGAGGACGGGACTGCGTTGGTCAAGGACTACTACGTGATTGACGTTGCTAGAGAGGCCCAACAGATCTCCGAGGAGCTGTGAAGAAAATGGCAAGGGAACGGGTAACTTGCTCAGTAGACTGCCTACATGCACTTTGAGGTAGTTAGCGCAATTCATGGTTTGAGGCAGGCCGCAAGCTCAACACTTTGGGGCCAAACAAGTAGAGACGGTCGGGACAAGTGTGTTTCAGTGATTGGACGCATGAGGGGAACTCGTCAGGAAACATGCAGCGCTGGTATCTGCCCTATGCCCTAGCGCCGGTGTCTAGCTGTGTTGTAGTTGCGGTCCGACGGGTTTTAGCTCTCTCCAGCTCCTCAAGCTTCACTAAACTAAGGTTCTCCTCATCTCGTGTGCGCTCATTTCGAGGGTTGCCAGGGTCAGTGTGCGGCGTGCCCGTGGTTCTGGGTGCGCGGCGTGCCGTATGTGTTCCGGAGAGACAGCGAACCTGAGTCGTCTGAACAAGAAACTCAAAAAGAGACTCGGCGAGACAGACGATCCGCCAGCTGGCGGCCATTTCGTCCGATCCGAAGACGTGGATGGCCCTGGCGGGACGTTGTTGCGCCGGCGGCACGACAGCACGAGCCCCCCGGGAGGCGCAGCGCCGAGTGAGGGCTGAGCAGGGGGGAAACGCGGCCGCGTTTTTCAGACGGACGGGGGATTGGTCTCGACTGCAGACAGTCAGAGACGAGTCTGCATGGCGGTCATCGCGCGGGTAACGGGGCAGCGGGTGAGACCGGGGTTGGTTTCTCTAGAGAGCTCTTGGTATGTGCCAATGTTGTAATTGGACACTACGACTGTACGACCCTTTCACATGCTAGTTTGAAGATGGGGACTGAGGGCCTCTTATCTCAAAAGAAGCAGCGTTCCCAACCCCTCCCTCGACAGATGTGGTCTCGAGTGTGTTCTGTTCCTTGTTACTCTATGTTGATCTACCCAGCCTTTTATTGTTTTTGTCACTCAACTCCACCGATTTGCTGAAGCTTTCTGGACGTGCCCAGTGTCGACTGAAACGGCGCTGAAACAACTGCTCCTGACAGAGTCGAGACATTTGGCCATTTACATACGCCTCCTGCCATTCAATATCTCATTAAGTACAACGACAATAACAACAAGCGATCAGTTGAACGAGAAACCAGTACGGGAGAATAATCTGAGACGGACGCCATACAATCTCACAGTAAAATGGATACAAAATCATTCTCATCACGGATCAGCGATCTCGTCAAGGTAAACAGCACTGCGTTCCAGAACCACTGGTTGCCCATCAGCAAGGGTTCCACCACATGATTCAAGCACTACCAAGAAGAACCAAGCCCGCTAACGACAAACTGCTCTAGTTTCTTTCCTCCGTCCAAGGAGACCTCTCAAATGTTACCGCACCGCCCTCCTTCTTGGCACCATCGTCAGTGGTCGAGGTCGGCCACTGCTGGTGCCAGCGGCCCGGCGTCTTCGTCGCCCCGGCACTGGAATCAGATCCGGAAAAGCGCAGCTTAAAAGTTCTTCGCATGATCCTAATCGCCATGCGCAGCCAGTTCTACGTCGCCGGCGCGCCAAACGTCAGCATCAAGAAGCCTCTCAACGCGTTCCTGGGTGAGCTGTTCCTCGCTTCGTGGACGGATTCAGATCGGAAGGCGAGGACGGAGCTCGTGGCAGAGCAAGTTAGCCACCACCCACCCATCACGGCGATGCACATGGGTAGCAAGGAGCATGGGATCCGCGCGGATGGGTATGCGCGGGTGGAGATGACGTTTTCGAGTACTGTCAATATTCGACAGATTGGGCACGCCGTTGTTCACATTGACCGATACAACGAGGATTACCTGATTCCGCTGCCAGAGGTGAAGGTTCGGGGATTCCTCAACGCGTGTCTTTATCCAGAGGTTTTGGGAACATATTACATCATTTCCAACACCGGTTACATTTCAGAGATCAAGTTCTCGGGTAGCGGGTTCCTTAGAGGCAAGAAGAACTCATTCGAGGCGAGGATGTACCACAAGAACGACAAGAAGAACACAATCTACGAGCTCCAAGGATGTTGGAGCGAAGGCTGGACAGTCAAAGATGGAAGGACAGGGGAAATCCTCGAAAAATACGAGGTCGACGCGCTAGAGAACCTGCCAGCCCCGATGGAGATGGAGCCGATTGCGACCCAAGATCCGTGGGAATCCAGGCGCGCGTGGAACGGCGTCATTCAAGGGCTGAGCAAGAATGATTTTCGCGAGACGGTCAGCGCAAAGAGCCAGGTCGAGGAGGCACAGCGGCGGATGAGGGCGGAAGAAAAGAAGAAGGGCGAGACATGGGAGCCGTTATTCTTCAAGAGTATTCCTGGGGAGGAGCACGAGGTTTTCCATCGGTTGGCAAAGGGCGTTAACTGGGAATTACAGGACAAGCATACCAAAGGCGTCTGGAAGATTGATGATTCAAAGAGGGATTCGGTGCAACGGCCGTTCAGAGGGGAGTCAACACCACTGGGTTAAAGGACTGTTGTCTAGATTTAGATTTGATGCCTTATGACTACGTGCTAAGTCTTATTCAGCCTCTTCGTTGCCGCTTTCTGGAATCGATCACCATTTGCAAGACAGAGTGAGTCTGCCCGCCATCTCAGTCATCTTGACTGGCTCGCATAGGCTACCGAACCATGCAAAATATGCCGCGAAGCCATCGGGGTAACAATCGCTTTTTGCGAACTCTGGTCTGATCTGAGTCTGGGGCTGGCTCCGGTCGTGGACCAACCTCCGCCACCTCTTCCCGTCTTGATGGCTTTTCATTTTTGACCTTTGTCTCATCCCCGGAGGTCTCTCTCCTCACAGGGATGCTTTGCATAGGAGGTCTCCAAGTCGGTGCTTTCCCGCCCATCGGCTTACTTCCCTTCTTCTCATTCTTTTGAATGGAGGATACCATCGTCCTTTCACGTTGAGCCCAGCTTTCCAAGAATTCTGGACACATGGCACACACTAGCACCAGCTCTCTCGTCGCCAAACAATCTTCTAAGCGGTCATGAACTGCGCCGCCAGGCCCCAGATCTGGGCGGCGAATTTGGATGCTCAAAAGATCATGGCACAGCGCCTTTAAACCCCATCTCCTCTTGCAATCAGAGTCTGCCCCGAGAACAGCATCTGCAGTGATGATGGCGGTATCAATGACCCTAGCATGGGAGGTGTGTAGCACCCGCAGGTCATTCTGGAGTGACTGGCCGATGAGGATACGATCCTCATCGGCGAAGCGCCATAATTCAGCGCGTGCGGCCTCCCTGCCGTCCAAAGCGTCGTTCCGCGAGACAGTGTCAGACATTACCGTCGCATTTAGACCAGTGACGTGTTCACGCCAGTCGGAGACGGGTCTTGTAGGCTTGACGAGACGGCTGCTCAGCAATGAATTGCCCGTGAACAATTCGAGAATGGTAAGCTTGATCAACTGATCCTCACCATCTTTCGTACCGCCTATCTCGCAGTCTATTACGAGAGCCGCATATTTCGGCTTGGCCCGGGTCCCTATCAGAGCAGGGTGGAGCAATTCTCGACGCTGAGCTGTACGAACTTTGCGTCTTATCGGCCTCTGTATTTGGTAGTGTGTATCCTTCTTTGTGCAACTTCTCTTCTGTGTGACAAAGATTCGAGATTCTAGTCTAGTTTCTGTTCTGTTTGACTACGGACGAGTAGGCATTGCTCTTATATGTGGTGAATTCTCTCTCAAACTCGAAAGATTCGGCGGCTCTGGCTGGCTGGGATTTGTTGTGATTGGGGCGTGAAGGTGTAGTGGCTTTAAATGGTCGATTTGCAACCTGACGAGGGCTTCTTGACTTGGTGACTCTGGGTGGTCGCACGACCGGAGTCAAAGGCTGATTGGGATTTTCTGCAATTTAATCGCGATGTTTTGCTCGCATATGATTCGCCTGATCTTTCGGGAAAACGAACTTTCGCGGACAAACGGGACATTGACGCTTTCTGAAGACAAAGTCTTCATCTCGTGAAATCGGCATGGTAGTGAAAGTTTTTGTCGAGGACTAGCGCAGGTAACTCGTGAAAGAGATTTCAGAAAGGTTTTTTGAGTTGGTTATTATTACTCAGGAAGGGCGCCGTGGGCGCAATTTCCCCTTTTAAAGGACTTACTCTCTTGGGTTTTCTGAGTTTGAATGAGGCCTAAATGATCTGATATAGATCTATCTTAGTCAGTCAATCAATCAAATCTAAGCTAAAAGTTATAGTCAACTTAGTCGATTCGGTGGAGGGGTATGTCTGGAAGATTGTCCGTCTACGTTGTTGTGTGGTTTAATTAGACTGCATGAGATGCTGCGCCGTGGAGGGAACTCATTTAGATATTTAAAGTGGGAACTGGCCGTGTAGCCTCTGTGACGGAGGATGACTGACGGCTGTGGAAGGTCGACGGCCAGCAAACCGGCCATAATTGGTGCAAGACCAGTTCCATGGACCGCGTGAAAAGGATACAATAATTTTCCCATAAGGAGGCCAACAGATTGGTATGTGACTTAGATGACTACTTAGGTCGCTTTGTTGGTTAACGAACCGAATGATCTATCTTTATACTTAAGAGACCTTCCAGACACCGGCATTTTGCATTGAGAAAACTCCTCAATACCGATTTTCCCGAAGAGGACCGTCTGTGGCGTTATTTGTAAAATCATCTCAATAATGGAAACTCCTATGTCTCTCATAAATTCTTCATGTCTCTGAAATTCAACAACGAGATAGGAGCAAGGGCCTGATATGTAAGGTCGGTAGGATTCTCTCAGGCAACGTGAGCTGGGTAAGGTAAAAAGTACCAGTAGGTCGTCACGGATTTCCAAGCATCCATCTCGGGCCATCGTTCATCTTCTCCTCGGATCATTACTTTCAGCCGCAGACTATGATGCTTCTGTGGGGAATTTTCTTTCTACACGACCTTGTAAGTCAATGGCCAAGTCGTGCAGGATCCAGTGGTTCAATCAAGTCTAGGTCCCCTATATCTCTTGTTCGCTATGGACAGGCAGAAGAGAGTACTTTACGGGGTTCTGAAGACGACAGGAATGCTCAAACACCCTTTTA